AGGGTTAACCCGCCCTAACCCCTAAACACGAATGCCCCTGGCCCTGTGTCCTACGCGACTACGTGCGCAGGATGAGGAGAGAATTTTCCACTTCTGCAAGAACTGCAGGCAACTCGAGGCCGGCAGACTTCGAATATCAGGAGCATCAGCCAGGCAACTGGGTCATATCGCCAGACATGTGTAATAGTAAGGCACACTAGTAGTAAGAGTAATGGTAGTAATTTGACGAAGAACACTTTGGGTTATGGCAGACATTCGAAGATCATTGCACCTAGCGTCCTTTGAAGATCGCGCTGCATTCTAGTACGTTGCTGTAGCTTCGGATACGAGAGGAAACGCATAACGCAGCAACTTCGTGCAAAAGCTTCTCTGGTGACCCACCCCTCAAGCCTGAATGCTTTACCAAACCCGAGCCACCAACTTCCCATAAGAACCGAAACCCAACGAGTCCAAAACCAAAACGAACTTCATTGGGGTTTAGAGTTAAGAGTTTAGTAGGATTCATCAGGAATCGAAAATCTGGAGGTTCCCAGGGCCCTCAGGCCCAAAGCAACCTACCTCAAACTCTGCGACCGAAGAGCTTGGCTTTAGGGTTTAGCTCTTTTGGGTGTATTGATCTTGTGATTCGTTTCTTTTGGTGCACTGTTTAGATTCAACCTCGGAGCTCAAATAGATCAAAAGGCTGTAAGGGTGGCATGCAGGAGTTTCCGAGAATTAGGGGTACCTTATTTGGGGGTCCGTATAATTATGATGGATCCTACTATTCAGGCTGCTATATTAGGGTCCCCTATTTTCGGCAACCCCCATGCAGACACAAGAGCCATATTACTCGGTTCCTCAGACCCTTCACGTGAGCCTCGCAGGTGGCCACCCGCAGGCTGGTCCGGGATACACGTACGCAAGAAAGAACCGCGATGTACTGGAGCCTCAAGTTGTACACAGGACGGTTTAGGTTGGTATAGGGTTTGGGGTTTAGGGTTCGGCGATAAGGGTTTGGAGTCTAGTAGGTTCAGCTTTAGGTGGAAAAGTGCATGGGTTTGGCCTTCGGATATTGCGGGTGCTTCTTTTGATCTTCATAGGTCAGGGGACAGGGTCTTTTGATCTTGTTGTCCTGGTGTCTACCCCCACGACACTGAGTGGAGTTTCAGCCCCTGAAGCGACCTCCTGAAGTCGTCTAGATCACCTTCCAGGAGAGGACTCTGTTGAAGACGCAAGCTCGAAGTATCTTTGGGGCCCTCACGTCTTATGGGCGCCTTGGTCAGAGCAAAAATTTCCAGATCTGGCTTGCGGGCTTTTGGCTTCTCGGGTTTGGGGCCTTTTCAGCTTGAGGGGTTCGGGGACCAGGTTCCATCCCGTTATGTAAACCATGACCCCAAACCCCAAGCCCCACACCCTGAGCCCTTATTCCCTATTTCGTAGTCATAGGTTCCGTTACCCAAGACCAAGAAGGGCGCCCCTCTTATTCCCAGGTTACTGGGCATCCTAGTCCAGGGCAGGTCTGAAAGCCTAGGCTAAACCCCAAACCCGTCTAAAGCCAGGCCCGGAGCTTGAGCTTCTAGGCCCCTAAACCCCCCTGAACCCTAAACCAGCAACCACAAACCCTAAACCCTGAAGCCTAAGCCCCAAACCATTAAAAAAAAAACAAACCATGAAGCCTAAACCCTAGCCGCTCTAGCCCCTAAACCCTAAACGTTGGGGTGTAGAGTCAGCTTTGATTGTCACATTCAGGCTACGGTCAGCCTGGAAGGGTTCGCGGATTTAGGGTTAAGGGTTTTATTTTAAGGCTCAGCGATTTTTGACTTGGTGATTTAGGGTTTGGGTTTCAGGCTTATAGGCCTAAAGTGAGTGGTTTTAGGCTTCGTGATTTGAATGGGCTTTAAGGCTTAGTGGTATTTAGGGCTTCGGGGTTGCAGGCTCAGTAATCTAGCAGGGTTTAGGGTTTAGGGTTAAGCTGGGTTTAGGGTCGAAAGCAACACCAAGCCCAAAAGCATCCATAGCCCGGCGGCTTATAGGGGCCTGAGTAACTAATGTCATGCTATTATTGCCGTTGTCATTATTATGGCTGTTAGAAAATCAGTTATACTACGGTTTAGGCGGTATGCAGCACCTCAGTTATAGCAAGGAAACCTAAGGAACCTTATATAGTCTAATTATATGCAGGTAGTGCTTTAACTCGGCCCAAGGAAGTGTCCAATATGGGGGCCTAAGCAATTACCAATATTATTTTGGAGGTGCCTTAATTACAGTGTAGTGGGCCCCAAAACCCTTCTCTAATCATTAACACCCCTACCTACCCCCAGCTACCCTTAATGTACTTTAAGTACCCACTATAAAGGACCATAAGGGCTCTATTAACGGGCCATTGAAGGGTCGTGGTATAGTATTGTTGAGGCAAGGCCCACCCAGACCCAGGTTCAGGCATGGGATTGAAGGATGTGAGGGTTCAGGGCCCCGGGATCCAGGGATTTAGGGTCTTAGGGTTTAGGGGGTTAGGGGTCTAGGGGTTTAGGGGCAGGGTTTCGGCGTTGTAGAAATTGTATAGGGTTCGGGTCCGGTGTTTGGAGGGATAGTTTTGAGCGAAAATTTGTTTTTGTTTCCTTCTGAATTTTGCTGCTGCCTGGGCTTGCTGGTGGGCTGGGACTAGGGCCAGAGGAAGGGGGCTGAGGTGGCGTTGCTTGGAATTGGAGCGGGTCTCCTCGCACCAGTTTCCTGGAAACACGAAACTAATGAAGATGTAGTTCGAAGCGAAATTCACGCAATTTCGGGTTTAGGGTTTACAGTAGGGGGTCCGGGAATAGAACTGACCTTTCCCGAGGTCGCCGACTTACCCCAAGCCTCAAGCATGGTCGGTGCTTCTCCTAGTTTTCGAGAAACAGACCTTCAAGGGCACGGCGGAGCACTCGAAATCCAGATGTCGGATTACGCTTCACACAAGTAACCCAGCGGCCCCAAAATCCTTTGAACAAAAGCATATACCTAACCTAAGGAGCTTTCTACAATACGAGGCATGTGTCTGACTTAAGAGGTTCTGGAATCTGTCTGTGGGAATGCGCCTACGCACTTGTCGAGCCCACCCACCTGACATGCTGGTGTGCTTTCATCCAAAGGTCCCGACGGAGCTGCAGCTGGATCACGGCAGGGCTAAATGAGCAAGGAGAAAGAACAAGTTCTAGCAGCATCAATGATTTCTTGAGGGATGTTGCTTATTGAACATGAAGCGGTTGGCTTTGATTGAAGTGAGATCGTCCGTCTCGTTTAATGTGTTTTCCAACTTTCTAGATTGAAATTACGATCTGTATATACGCAGATATGTATATATGTATATGTATATGTATATGTATATGTATATGTATAATGTATATGTATATTTATATGTAATAATTTATATTATATGTATCTGTATATTAATATATATATGTATATGTAATATGTTTATGTATAAATGTATGTTTTTACATGATATGTAGAAATGTATATGTATAATGTTATATGATATATCTATTATCATATTCTGGGTTCGTGTCTTGTTCCGGTCCGGTTCTGGTAAGGTTCCGGTCCGGTTCGTGTCTGGTTGGGTGTTTTGGTAAGTTTCTAGTTTTCGCGATTGGGTCGTGTCTCGTTGGTGTCTGGTTTGTGTCTGGGTTCGTCTCCGGTTCGTGGTCCTGGTTTATTGTCTGGGATCGTTTTTTAGGTTGTATTTATGTCTGGCTCGCGTCTGGCTTCGGGGGGGGGTCAGCCGGGGCAGACCCCTCCCCCCGCCCCACGAAATAACGAGTCGATCCCCATTTTGCTCTCCGATTCCTTATCGTATGGTTTCTCTCCCCGTTCGATTGTACCGCCTTTTCTAAGCTTTTTTTTTTTTTTTTTTTTTTTTTTTTTTTTTTTTTTTTTTTTTTTTTTTTTTTTTTTTTTTTGTTTTTTTTTTTTTTTTTTTTTTTTTTTTTTTTTTTTTTTTGTTGGTTTTTTTTTTTTTTGCTGATTAGGCGTCCGGTTGCTACGACTTGAGCCTTCGGATAATGAGATAGCTCTAGAACTCCCGTAATCCGGACTCTGATATGTCGGTAACTCCCAACGAATAATCATTCAAAGTAAAAAATCTAATTCTTCGCCACTTCCGCCTAATAGGTTGGCGAAAAGAAAAAAAAAAAACCGGGCGTCCAAAAAAAAAGTGAGGGGCCGCACCGGGGCCTAACTAGTGAAGCCAGACCTAATTATCTCTCCGTAAGATCCGACCTCTGATATATTATTGTTTTATATTTTTTTTTTTTTGGTTGGTCGGGAACTCCCAAGCGAATAAGCTTCTAGTATGATATTCTAATTCTTCTTCTTCCTCCTATATTCTTCCGCGAATCTTGCTCTAAAATAAAAAAAAAAAAATAAAAAACTACTGCGGATATATAGACGCTCCCATCGGCCTTTTTTTTATTAGCCATCTGAGTGTCTCTACCCTTCCCACTGGGCTAATTCTCCCGCCCCGCAGGGATTTTCTGATAGAGATCTAATGCTTGTTTCTATTTGGTCGCTTTGAAAAAAACCCCCGCTTTGAAACCACCGGACCAAAAAAAAAAAAACTAAAAGGAAGATAGTTCGAGGGCTGTTTGGGGCCTTGGCACGTCTTCGATATAAGGATTTCTAATTGGGGGAATATCAATTTCAAATGCTAGATAAAACACACTAGTATCTAACCCCCACTCAGCACAAGACAAAAACACCCATCAAGCACCGAAGATCCTTGAAGAACCTAAGGCCTGATAAGGGGGGGGTCCCAACGAAGAGGGGGGGAGGGTCCACCGAAAAAAAAAAAAAAAAACCGGAGGCCTAAAACAACAAAACCACCTTCTCAATCTCCCTAACCCCCAAACCAAAACGCACAACCCTCCTATACCGCGTCGGGGGCATATCTTTTGTAGATACACACAAAGTCCCCTCGAAGAAGTTGCCAGCCCTTCTACCGACTAAAGCGGGAGCGGGCGCGGCAGGGCCTTGATAACCTTCAGTTATCAGCAGCACTCCTCCTCCCCTTAGGGTGGGAAGGGGTAGGTGGGTGGAGGGACCATCCGATAGGGGTTTAAGCCCTGCCAGACAGTCCTCTCAGGATTCGAAGAATTAAATTTGGCGCCAAGCCCGTCGCTCTAAAATTACAAAGTACCGATCGCTCTAAAACCAACGGACCATCTAAGTCTCCGTGCCAGTCCCAGCCATCCTTCTTTTTTTGAAAAACCAGTCCTTGCAAGAAGGATTTTTAGGAAGAGAAGAACAAGATTAAAAAACAAAAAAAAAGAAAGAAAAAAGGAAAGAAAAAAGAAGAAAAACTCCCCATTGTCATTAGCCTCTGTTGCAAGCTTGACAAAGGTATTAATTTGTTGTGGCCGCTGCTCTGTTTGCCTCCCACAACCACTTTCCCATTCCTTGTCTACGGTCCGCGGCCGTGTTTTGTGTACTGGAATCGTACTTCTCCTTGAATCTTCCGAGAGTTCAATCTGAACTACTGATCTGTAGTTCGCCGTCGTCCTTCTCCTAAAGGTGCCCCTGAGCTCCTCAAGGTGTGGGGGATCATCGAAGCTTCTCGTAGGATATGGTGGAGGCGGAGGAGGGTATGGATGCTCCTCGCCCCTGGTGGCATATGTAGGAGGAGGCGCTGGATGGTCCTGAGAAGAAGAGCTTGAAGACGACCATGTGGCTTGACTACCCAAACCCATTCCCTGAACCTCGTCTCGTACAGCACTCTGCAGCTTCCTAAGACGTCTAGCCTCTCGCGACTCAGGCTCTTCAGGATATAGCCTCTCCCAAATCTTCTTGACAACCTCTCAAATGGCTATCCCAGCAACTACAAGAAGGAAAACCATGCCATATAGCTCCCAAGCGAAATTGACCTCGATGTCAGGCTTGGACTTCTTGTTAGCAACAGGCTGCGTCAAACAGAAAAGCACCACAGCAAGGCGTGCAACTGCATGGACCCAGGTAACCCTCAAACCTGCGACATGATTGCTTGTCTTGCTAGTCGTTTCTGCTTGCGGTATGGCTGCTGGAGAAGAAATACGAGATCGATCATCTTCACGTTGCACCAAACCCCAAAGTTCAAGTAGCTCAAAAAGACGAACTGCATCAAACCCTTTGGTTCCAAGATCAGCTTTCTGCAGAAGACCTGGGATGTGTCGGATAACCAGAGCGCCTTCTCTAATAAGTTCTCGAAGCGCACCCGCACGGACGCGCAAGTGTCTCGTGCGCCATGTGCCTGGTGCATCGGTGCACAAGCCAACAGCTGCGCTGTTGTCAACAAGTAGAAGAAGATGAATCTCTGAAGCATTGATCTCTGACGTCAGTGACGAAATTCCTGCCTGAAGCTGAACCGCTGCAACCGCTTCTATCAATTCACTCTCTGCCGTACTCAGTGCTATCAGGCTCTGGCGCCCGGAGCGCCAAGCCACCGCATTACCATTGTAGGTGATCAATGACCAGCCAATAGACCTTCGCCTGATGGGCTGAAAGAGGCATCCGAGTAGGCCACAACAGAATGTTCCGGCTCATCACTGCTTCCGAAGAACATAAGAGAGAGCTGCGAAGTAGCAAATAAGTAGGCAAGAACCCTCTTCCCGATTCTTTCAATCAGGACTGGATCTCGCAAAGAAAGAGAGCTCATGCTGGAGACCGAATGCATGAGGTCTGGTCTCGACTTCGTGCTAAGCCACAACAGCTCGCCTGTCATCTGCTGGGCTTTTCTCAAGCTCACTTCATTATATACTGCCTGCTCCACCTCACCCTCGCCGATGAACCACTCTCTCGGACATGGAGTTCTAGCACCGGGGCCATTCGTTAGATCATGATGACGTAGGAGCTCACGCAAATACCCAAACTGGCACATCTTATATCCCACTTTGGACTTATAGATTTCCAACCCGAGAAACCTGATACCATCCACATCTGATGCCCATGTCAAAGGACTGGAGGTCCACTCAGCACTCAACCACGCATGAACATCTGAAATCGTGCTTGGCTCCCCGAAATACAAGATGTCGTCAACATAGACCACAATGTAGGCGGCCACAAAATCTGGCTCCTCGCTGCCCTCTTTTAGAACAACGACCTGCCAGATATTCTTATCAGCAACCAACCTTCTGAGAACCGCCACACGATTTCCAACAAGGCTCTGAAGTGTGATCCGGGCTTTCTTAAACCTAGCATCTCGAAATAGGCCAAAAAGGCGTGGAGAACGTCTGAAGCCGTAAAGGGCTCGATCTACACGGTAGAGCTAATCCCATTCTGGACCCAGGGCGAGAAGAAACACTTTCGGAAACCGCAGCCCATACGTAGCATCAGTGCACATCGGAGCTAACACAAAGGCGTTCCGTATGTCTGTCACTGCTGCGTCCCATAATGGCCTGGATGAAGCGTGGGATACCATAATCCTCAGGGATTCCGTTTGGCAACCTCCGGCATACAACTCCTCACTGATATTCTTCTCGAAATTGCCACAAATGACCAGTCTTGCTTTACGCTTGTATAGGGCATCAACTGGAATCGAACCCGACACATGAGAACTCTTTGCTGACTGGACACCGTCTGGGAACTCTAGCTGGTCCTGAGGCTTTGACTGGACACCGTCTGGGAACTCTAGCTGGTCCTGAGGCTTTGACTGGACGCCATCTGGGAACTCTAGTTGGTCCTGCGGCTTTGATTGGATTGCCTCCGCAGCTGCTTGAAGGTCGGGGGGCTTGACAGTAAATACGCCTTTGGCCGGTAAGATCACTAGCTTGCCCTCGCGCTGAAGACGGTCTTCTTCGGCCGCATCCAGCTTAACCAAGGCCCCACAATTGATCAACGCCTGAACTTCCTTCAAGATCGCCTTTTTCCAAGCCATAACATTCTCCCGGACCTCCCCAAGCGTCAGAGTGTACACAACCTGCAAGGGTGCATTTAGATTTCTCAACAGCTCTTCCACTCCATGTTGTTCTCCACTTTCAACAAGCCGACACAACTTGAACCATTTAAGGCTGTCCAGATCACCTGCATCGTCACATCGATTGGCCTCAGCTGCTTCCAATGCTTCAGAGATGCATCGCCTTGATACTCACGCTCCTGGTCTGGGATGCCAGGACCAATGAACTCTATCTTCTCCTTTTCGTCAAGGAGCTTCCTCAAGTTAACAAGACTCGATTCTGCAGCCACGCTTTGCACAAAATGCTCCTCCTCATCAGAGGTCTCGCAATAATCAAACTCCACATGCTCCTCTTGAAGACGTAGCTGGCTCAACGTAATTTCTTCACACCGAGGAACAAGGAAGCCGCAATCCCGTAGCCCTTGCACCTTTGCTTCTGGTAGACGAGCAAATCCACGATTCACATAGGCAATGATGGTCCACTTCGTGCCCTTCCATGGGAGGCTCTTATGGAGTCGCCTCGGATTCAACTTCACCACCTGATTCTCAGTAGGCACAACAGAGTCGTCAACCTTCCGCCCATCGGGAAGGGTCAAAGACATTGACTCGAAGCCATCATGGAATCCTTCGACCCACAATCCACCCTGCTCATAGCTCCGCACGAAATGACTATGTTCCTCATGCCATTCACGTTGTAGCGATCACGGTGCAGCCCAGTTTCCAAATTTCTGGCCACAACCACGCTTGGGAAAGGATCGCTCTCTCCTGAGTGTCTCCTGATGAACGCCGTCAGGTACTGCACCAGCTCCGGATAGTCCCGCGTGGCATTGGTCACACCAGTGAAGTTGCCATGCTGGTAGGCCCCAAAGGTTGCATAAATATCTGGCCCAGGATCTTCCCAAGCCTCTGTGTTCCTAGTCTTAGTTGGCCTCTTGAAAGGGGTATCCTCAAGAATTGCAAAGCAGTCCTCCAAGGCAATCCACTGCCTCTCATGGGACACCTGGGCCAAAGGCTTCATCAAATCGCCCTTGGGAAGATATTCAACCTTCGCAACCGACTTAATCTCAGACACCGGGAGGGACTTAACAAAGAGATCGTGGCGTTCCTCTTGCTTCCCCTTTGACAAAGAAGAAATCCTCAAAGCCTTCAAAGGTATAGGCGCGACCGGCGGCCTTTTTCCGGAGATTCTCCTTCTAGCTGCCAAGGCTGAGGGATCCGGCTCCATGGGAACATCCGGTAGCTGTCGGACATTGCAGGTGTTCCACAGATGATTGTCGTTCGTCAGAACAACATGACCCGCAGGAACATCCCTCGCTGGCCCCAAGTAGACCGCGCTGCTCCACTTAGGATCAAGATCACGAGCCTCAGCACCATATCTCTTCCTTTTCACGAAAACCTTGGTTCCAAAGCCTGCCGGGGGATTTGACTCGAGCCCGAACACCAAAGATCTCTGACGCACAGCTGCCGTCTCAGCGGCCATCGGCCACCACGTCTTCACTTCTTTGATGTCCCTTCCACTTGAGTCCTGCGCCGATGCAAGCAAGATCCGAGTTCGAGACTTCAGATATTTCACCGCTTGTTCCGCAGTGCCGTTTTGCGCTGGCGCATCACCTTCGGACCTTGTCACCAGAATATCTCTCGACGCAGCCCAAGCTGAGACCGCAGGCGTGCGAAATTCTCTCGCACGGTCCGAATGAAGTCGACTCACAGGTAGTCCCAGCATTTTCACATCGATATACACTTCTTGTAAGGCACGAAGGACCTCAGTGGATTTTCTGGATCTGAGTGGTCGCACGAAATAAGCCACAGCAAATTCCAGCGGCTCAAATGCTTTTGCAGCCTCCTCTTCAGGACTAGGGCCACTCGCATCTTCAGCTTGAGGCACCGCCATCCTTCTCAATGATCATATGCTTGTCGGCGCCACTCTCCTCAATGATCTCATGCTTATCATCACCGCCCTCCTCCTCGAAGAGCAACTCCTCGAGACCCGCGCCCGCACCAGTATCATCATCAACCGACTCATGCTGAGCATCTGGGGTTCCAGGAAGCTTAGGGAACTGATAAGTGCATACCAGCATAAAGCGATGCTGATTGGTCTCGGTATTCACCCCCTTGACCCGGAACGGTCCAGCTACATCTGCAGAGAGAACGTAAGCAGATTTATGAGTCACGCGGCGATGGTCTCGGCTGACGTGCAGTTGCCACTCCTTCGCAGTCATCTTACATGATATTGGGGGTGGACCTGCAGCTACAGAGCAAAGCACCGACTCATGCACTGAAAAACCCGTCCAGGCGTTAACGGCCTCACCGATCGCCTGCGCATACTCACTGGCCCAAACTCCAGAGGTCGTGGTAGTTGAGGTTAGTGAGTTCAAGGCCTCCAGGTACATATTTGTTCCCGTAGAGCCGCGTCCTGACTGAACCACCTCCATTCCATACACCTCCGAGAAGCCTTTCCACAAAGAGCTTGACCAAACATTTCCCTGGGCTACGACCTTGTCCGGATGCTCCAAAGCAAAACCCAGCCGATCGCTGCGATGCTGGCGTCGTCCTTCCATAGCCACCGTTGCCAAGACCAACATCCTGATCACAAGCGGCTCCTCCTTGGCCCTTTTTTTCATCATCCTCGACCAAATAAGATCTTCTCGGTGGGCCTCCAATCAAAGTCCTGATCTTTCCACAAGCCGCTCCCCATAGAAGAACCTTAAAGACGCCGTCCATCCTGGTTACATCCATCAAAGCCGAATCCAGGATATCGACCTCAATATTGACACCCGAGGCCTCAGTGACAGACAACCTGGAAGTAGTAGATGTCGTACTCGTTGGCCTCGAAGGTCCAGAGAAAAGATGCATATTCCAATCGTTGGATCGATGCAGCGACCTTCGCTTCCTTCTGGACCATGGCATAGACTTGAGAAGCTTCCATCCATCCACGTCACGCAGGGGAATGTCCTCTGCTGCCATGGCAATCGTGTCCAAGGAGACGTCCTTGAGCCTTAGTGAGAGCTCCCAGCAGCTCCACGCGCTTTCCAGTGGTGACATAGCTCTGAACATACTCGAACCACTCCATAACATGTTCACTCTGAGCCACTCTCATCTCCAAGGCCTTAACCGTATTGTTCATTTCCATCAACCGCTTCTCCTCAAGCTCGCTGATAAGGCGGAATTCCTCATGCTCAGCCATCTGGGGGCAGTAGTGATTCACGATGAGGCGGTTCTTGGACCACCGCACAGTGCACCCAAGAATTTGGACAAGTTGCCCCAATGGGACCAACGTCTCCGCTGAAGCATCCCCCAAGAGCGTTCCAGATTTTGTCTGCAACAAGGTAGTCTCGCCCTCGGCAAGTTTCACACTTATCGGTTGAGCTCGCTCCTGCTCTTCACGATCAGCTGCCCTTCGATAGGCATGACTAGCACCAGAATCCAGGAGAGCCATCTTCTCCCCGAGGCTGCTCAAAGTGAACTTCTGCAATCTCCGAGCCAACATTTGCAAAGGATCTTGCACGGCAGGAGGAGGTTGAGCACCGGTAGTGGAGGAGCCCGAAGAAGTAGAGGTCAAAGCCTTTCGAATCATTGGAGACTTCAGGATGAATGGGAGGATCGGCTGCCGCCATAGCTACCACAGGCATTGGTGCCGCAGCTGGAGGTGGTAGAGGAGGTGGACTCTTTGCCGTAGTCGTAGTAGGAGCGGGTCCACCCGAGCACACCGTAGCCAAGGCCTTTCGCTCCTTCTTGTTCAGCCCCTGTGGACTAGGGCTATCATTCGCCGGCTCGAGCTCTCTCCTTGGGCAATCTTTCACCTTGTGCATCTTGCTTCCACAAACCAGGCACCTTTCGGACTTCACCACTTGAGACCAATCATGAAGAAATCGACGAGATCTCCCTCGGCTACAACCTTGGTCCGATACAAACCACTTGCACGATCCCTTTCCATCGCCCTTGCCGTCCTTGGGGGCCGAAGGTGAGCCACCCTTTGGTTGGACCTGAGCCGCACGAGCCTTGGCTTGAGTATCGTCCCCCGCCATGGAAGTAGAACTCGCTGTAGTAGCTGATGCACTGTTCGCACTGCTCCGGCTCTTAGTATGTCCAAGTTGCTCCACCTCGGCCAACAAGTGTTGGAAGAACTTCAACGCGGTCTCTTGCGTGGGCCTGCTCTCGGTGCGAAGTTCCGTTCTCCCCAAGGCTATCTTAAATTGCAGATCATGATTTTAATTTCGGAGATTTTCCTCACGATAGAGGACAGCGCCTGAATTTGCACTGATGGATCAGGCAACGACAGTTGAAGATCACGAGCACGCTGAAGCCATCGAAACCTCCTCCGAAGAGCAGCGACAACCTCTGTTACATCATTCGACCCGTCCTTCGGCTCCAACTGCGCCAAAACCAAGGCTCTGTCTGAGCTGCCACCAGGCTGGTAGCCCACCAACAATCGAAACAACTGCTGGTGCACACGTTGCACCCGATAAGAAACCATCTCATCTCTCATGGCTTGGGGCAATGCCGCAACCAGAAGGGCTGCGACGCGTTTCTCCAGCTTGAGATACTTCGGGTCATCCAACTCGGGGGGCAACTCGGCTTTAACTGTCAGCCTCTGGATTGGAGTAGAAGCCTGATAGACCCCATAGGCCTTCATAACGGCAGCCAGAAGACCTGACCACCAAGACGACGCGCCAGAAGCAAGACTTCCAACCTGCTGCTCCACCAGGTAAAGCCAGTCCTGAAAGTCGATGGCTCCTGACTCTGCTGAGTTCTCTTTCAACTTTGGGAACTCCACAACAGACTTCGAAGGATCATACTCAGCGGTATCGCTTCCAGACTTCCCCTTCAAGAGCACTTCTTGAATCTGCGTCATACCCGCGACCAAAGCCTCTAAAGGATTACTCGCCAAAGCAGCCTTAGGCCTCGAAGCAGCGCCCGAGGAGCTCGGTGGCGGCGGAGCTGGACCTGAAGTATATCCAAAGTCACCATCTGCAGGAGTTGAGACGGAACCATATGGAATTCCAGGAGGAGGTGGAGGCGGAGACATTCTCTCCCGACTCGTCGTCTTTGATCTAGCTCGACTCCCATAATCACCACGAAGACGACCTACTGGAGTGGAGACCGCTGGAGGAACTGGACCTTCAGAGGCTCCGCACACATCGCCCTGTAGTAATCCCGAAAACGGGTAGCCAGCCTGACCACTCAGAGACTGCGTCCCAGGCAAATCATCTTCACGATCAAGATCAAACTGCACTCCGAGAGACCTTCCACTGGGGCCACCGAAGGAGAAAGACTGCGACCAATCATCAGAAACCCGTGTATGCTGCTCAGAATAAGCCCGATCACCAGGAGGTACAGGTGGCTGCACAGCCAAAGCCCGATCACCTGGAGATATACTTTGCTGCACACCCAGAGCCCGATCACCTTGAGGTACGCTTTGCTGCACACCCAGAACCCGATCACCTTGAGGTTTCAGAGGGCTGCACAGCCAAAGCCCGATCACCTTGAGATACGCTCTGCTGCACCAGCGAAGCCCGATCTCCGTGTGGTACTGCTTGCTGCAAACTCAGAGCCCGATCACCTTGAGGTACTTCAGCCAGTAGCGTGCCGTACTGATCACCTCGCGGTCCACTCTGTCGCTCCTCCAAGGCCTGTCTGACCCTCAACAACTCATTCTCTCGACGCAGCTCTTCAATCGTAGCAGTCTGCATCCGCATAGCTTCCATGACCTGTCGTCTCACTTCTTCTTGAACCAGCTCTCTCGGAATCGATGTAGAAGAGGCCCTGTCGGAGCCTTCATGTTGAGCTGCCGAAGAGCTCCCGTACAGAAGAGGGGCCTGCGTAGCCCATCCTTCCATTGTCTGCTGTGCAGCTGCTGAAAACAAAGGAGGCACCGTTGAGGTAGACGCTGTAGCTTGCTGCTGCCGCAGGTCTGCTGAATGTAGTGATGATATTGAGTGTCGTCTGTAGGAATGCTCCTGCTGAACCACTAAACTACCCTCCCTAGACCCACTTAGTTGTTGCCTCGTAAGCGCCGTAAACGTCTCGACGGGTCCGGTTGCTCGCTGCAAGAACTCATTCAGCCGTCCCATCCACCTCAGCGCGGGAGGCCACTCAACCGTCGCACTGGGGCTTCGTAATTCAGTCGATTGAGCTCCTAATGGCGCCCTCACATCCAGGCCAGAACCTGCCAAATTCCCAATAGGAAGCGTCGGCGGCGCCGGCGGCTGCTCAGCAACTAGATCTAACGCACCATATTCTCCTCCTGATCCCATCATACTCGGCGACCAGGGGAGTGATTGCATACTCTGGGGCGAAGCTTCCGGTCTATCCACACCATTCGGCAGCAACGGAAGTGCAGCTGCATAGTCTGGGGCCGTATCTTCGCCTTCAATGCCAGGCCCTGCAGTTTGGGCTCGCATAACCTGTTGGTCGCCTTGACCACCGGAGTTCGAGGGCTGGGCCATGGCACGTCTTCTATATAAGAGATTTATGATTACGAAATACAAACTCAGACGGATAAACACACCAGTATGTAATCCCCACTCAGACAAGACAAAACGCAAAATCAAGCACCGAAGATCCCTGAACGAACCTAAGGGCCTGACCAAGGGGAGGGGACCAAACGAAGAGGGTCATCGGCCTGAGCCTAAACCACCTTCTCAAATCTCCCCAATCCCAAACCAAAACGCGCAACCCTCCTACCTGCGGCCCGGATGGCCTTTCCTCGGAGAGCTTGTCCTTTTGCATCCTTGAGCCAACGCGTCGTCGGCATATCCTTGCAGAGACACACAAAGTCCCTCGAAGAAGTTGCCAGCCTTCTACCGACTAAAGCGGCAGAGCCTTGATAACCTTCAATTATCAGCACTATCATAGATAGAAGAATGAAATAATGATGAAGATGATAGATATGATATCTATCCGTATTCTCTCTGATCCCATAAAAAAGAATCTCGATCGAAATTCCGCTTATTCAATTTTTCTTTCAACGAATCCAACCGAAATTTCTTAATCTAGAATAATAATAATCGGTACAATTTTCGCAAAATCATTTTAGATCGAGCACGATATCGAAATAAAATAATGAATATATATCGGAATTATATTGCCATTCATAGGTCTAAAAGAAATTATATATCAACAATATCGTCAGCATTTGAAAAGTCGAAGAAGGGGAGTAGCTCTACGATTCTTTAATTATAGATTATCCCCGCGGGAGGGATAACCTTTAATATACGGATCTATAAGACAGTTAGAATGGGGACCTCCCAATTTATCAAGGCGAGAAGTCTACCTTGGAAATAGTATATCGTAGAAATAGCGAGACTTATATGGATAATTATGATAATTTGATAGAATGAGAACTCTGAGGGGGGGGAACTACGAAGCGATGATACGATAAGATATTTATATATATATATATATATGATATCTGATCGCCACGCATATATATATATAATATATAGAAAGAAAGAAAGATATATATAGATATAGATTTAGATATAGAGATTTTCATATATCTAGAATATTTCTTTTGAAAGGCGTTGCCTCTTATATATTTCAAATCAATTATTCCAAATCTTCCTCGTATTATGAAATTAATAAATTGAATCGTCGAAATATTCTGCCGAGCTCATATTCCGTATAAATGATACCTTATAAATTTATTTCCCGAAATTTCTACGAAAAGATTTTCTTAAGCTTTTATTACTGATTTCTTTGATTTTATCTTTATATAGTATATATATATATATATTTTTGGTGACCCGCTACTTACGGTAGCGGTCATCTACCAAACCCGTGAATTAATATTCACTATCTGAGTGCTAGTCATAGAACACGACAAAGGATCAGGGAAGATAAAACGACAGCACGAAATAATTTGAGTTATTATTCAATATCTTCGATATATACGATATAGTGAATATATAATATGGCATGCAACCGTCCTTGCCCGGCAGGAGATAGAGGGAGAGCCAGAGAGAAAGATAGAGATAGAAGAGAGATAAGAGAGAGAGATATGGAGAGAGAGATAGAGAGAGAGAGAGAGAGACAGAAATAGAGATAGAGAGATAGAGATAAAATAAGAGAGACGGAATAAAATTGATTATTGAATAATTTGGGTTCTTATCAATGTTTATCAAGTGATATACCTATGAATTGACTAATCGAGATCATTTAAATTTATTTTAATAAGAATCTAATGAAAAGAAAATATAAAATTTCCGATATATCTCATAAAAATATTATCAAAAAACCGCATATAAGGAATAGAATCAAAAATAATTCTGAAGATTTCATAGAAATGAAAAAAACATCTTACGAGTAAATCAAATAATAAATATTAGCGGTTTGGTTTAATTAAATAACTGAAATATAGGAATATATATTATTTAATTTTTTTATCTATTTATCTTTGTATATTCAGATAATCAAAATCCTTTGAAAAGAATTAAAATAAAATATATTATTTAATAATTTGCTTAGATTTTTTTTTTATAATCCTAATTTTAAAGATATCATTATTTTTTCAATATAAAATTCGTAATATTCATTATATAATATAATCCTATTTTGTTAATTCTTATTACTATTTCTAAAATTTACCTCTTATCTTATATTTTATTTTCGAGAATAATAAGATATTTCATTTTCTGAAAAAAAATCAAAATTTCTTAATATCAATTTCTTTCGAAACTTATATTCTGAGATTCACCAATATCTACCCGATAATTTGATATCTATATTCATAGATTAAGACCGCCATATCAATCGAAGATCGCATAGATAGCCTCTTAATCAAATTCCCCCAAAATCAAAAAATAAGAATAAATCTATCAAATCAGACCGATCTTCTTCAATTTCTATTCTTCTTTAGTTGCTGCCCAACAGAATTCCTTTCCCGTAATAAGAAGAAAATATGACGTCGTTCTTATCGATAGATCAAAATAATTTCAAGGCCTAAGAAAACAAGACAAACATTTCTTTACTTCGAGATCAAAGAGAACCGCTTTACTTTCCAAATAGAAGAATCAAGAAAAACATAAAAATATATTTTTCTTGAGATATTCAACCTCCAATATTAAATAACAGTAAAAGAAACGGAGCCAATTATACAATATGATCTAATTATTCGTAGATCCGAAAATATCGATAGCAGAACCAATAATCTTTAATAAGAAATTACTATTAATTTTGATTGGGCAAATTATGAAAGATACGATAGCTAGGATTCCCAAGCATCGGTAAAAGCGATATCATGAAAAAAGGACCGTTTATTGAGTAGTTCAAAATAATAAGGGCAGTGACAAAATTTGCTCGACGAGGCACCTGAGCTGAGCCGCCATACTGCAATATAGTGCAGCCCACAGACCTGCGGTCCCTGTGGCTTTCTGGGGCCAAGCGCTACGGGACCATCTCAATTTCCATGCGCCCATGATTACGTGAGCTGCTCAGATATCCTCTCTCTCTCTCTCTCTTTCCCTAAGCCCTAAACCACTCTCGCAGCTCACTTCGTGATACTGCCCGCTCCCTCAGATGCAGACTCTTGGTACTGCCACCTTTTCCTTGCAGTTGCGCCGCGACTCGACCAAAAATGCCAGCCGTCGGCCTTTAGCTCAAGACGGCCTTCGTTACGACTAAACCGCAAATCCGGAACACTGTACCAAGGTTTAGGGGTTAGGGCTTAGGGCTAGAGCTCCAATACAAAGCTCGACACAATAAGGACGACACCATGGACATCCGTAGATCACTATATCGATATTTTAGGGTATCTAAGGTCCTTGCGGTCATGCAGGATCTTATTCTAAATACCTAAACCCTAAACCGTATCCGTCTTGAAGAACGGAACCACCGAGGCCTCCACTTGATCCCACAGTCGGTGGCAGTTCTTCTGGCGTTTAAGTCTCTTGGGTAAACCCAAAACCCCAAGACCCCAAAACCCTAAGTTAAAGCCCTTATCCTAAACCCAAAACCCCAAGACCCTAACCCCAATCCTAGACCCATAGGATTGGGACTTGGAGCCTTTGCGACGAAGGTCAGCGTAGAACGTCGAGTTTCTGCAGGGTAGCACAAGATATGCGATTGCTGCTATGAGTCTTAGCAGTAGACGATTATTACGATAACTTCCACTCAATACGACTACTACGACTACTACATCTACAACTACAACTACCACTACTACTGCTACAACTAGTGCTACAACTACTGCCACTACTACTACTACCACCACCACGACTACGACTACGACTACGACTACGACTACGACTACGACTACGACTACGACTACTACTACTACTACTACTACTACTACTGCTACTACTATCAACTCCTAGGCCCCGACATCCACAAGCAGAAAAGGCACCGGATTTACGGCACTACGTTCGCTAGCTCTGCTGTCCCCGTTCTTCAGGGGCAGAAGAGAAGCTATTGTCCTTAAAAGGGGTTATGCCTCTCGCCCACCCAGCATCTGCAGGATCGTCCATGCGAATGCCTGTCACCCTCGGCTGGCTCGGTTTGACATCCGTGCTGAAGACTTCAGTGGTGAAACTGTGAACATCTGATTAGGGTTACACAACCTTCGTGCGTGCTCAGAAACACGGAAACTAGGGTTTAGGGAATGTAAATTTGATACCACTCGAAATAAGGGACGGCTTGGGCCACTTTGCCCACTCAAATTCGGCAGGCAAGCATTGGGCGAGATCGGAAAACCATTCGCAAACCATTGGCACGATGACACCCTTAAACTGGTTGGGTCTACGATTCTACTGCCCCTGCATCCCCAAAACCCATGTCCTAGGACTTGGCAAAGCTAAACCATCCCAAACCCTGACCCCTGCAAACCCTACACCGTAGATCCTAAACCCCAAAAGCTTGAGTTCGGACATGAACAGTGCTTCGTTAAGGGGACAACTGCAGGCTTCTACGAGTAATTTCTGATTTCGAGAGTCGACGGACGCTGGGTGAGGGCTTGGGGTGCAGCTCGTTGGGGTCTACTTGGAGGTTCAGGGGTAGTTATAAGTAGGGTTATAAGTCGCCTAAAATGAGTTACAAGTACAGTTACCCTACTTTTAAACTGCCAGGATGCATCGAGAGCATGTCGTGCAGCTGCTGCATCTTTGTCTCCTCATGTCGCGTCGGACGAGGGGAGTGTCTGTTGAACTACTCAGGGTGCACGGGATAGGACTGCACGTCCTTTGACTGCTCTGAGTAAGTTGTAAGCCCATGGCCAGCGTGACGATTTCCAACATCTGACCCACCGGGGACGGTGGGGGGAAACATTCGCGAGTTCGTCCGAAAGCTCCAATGATTTAGGGTTCAAGGACTTGGAACAACAGCAGCTTCCTGAGGTTCTGAGGTCTGACTCAGCGGCGATGTGGGATTGGAGAAAAGGACAGCAACGCAACGAGACACCCTTCAACTCTAAGGGAAAACGAGCAATTCTCCATCTTCAGGCTATCTAAAACTGGCCAACACTCGAACATCCAAACTAGCTAGCATTTAGGGTTTAAGCTTTCCATGGCTGGAAGTCGTCTTGCGCAGACACGTAGACAAAGCTCGCCACTCAGCAGAGTCTGCACGTCAAAGCTCGAGCTTTCCGAGTGTCCACGAAACGTGATTCATCTTTGGGTTCTCTGCAAAAAATCAATTTCTGGATGAATGCAGGGACGAGGAAAGGAATAAATGCAATGTGGAGGTCTGAAGAATCAGCTCAAATGATAACGGCGAGGACCCTCCTCCAAGCATGAAGGCCCTCATATTACTCCGCTCGGCCGCTCGGTCTCTGATTCGCGAAGTGCAACCTCCGAACCTTTTGACCGACATGCTCGCATCCATTGAGCCCCAAAGGACCCGAACTAAACTACGGTTCGTATTATTAAATGCCAGTACAGTCACCAGTGGACTACAGTGACGGCTGGTGTTTGTTGGTACAGCTCCCCTAAACCCTCATCGCTCTCAATGTCTCGGTCAAGGTTCCATGTAGGTGTGGAAGTGTCCCTGAGTTTTGATCAGCCAGCTCTGGTCATGGAGGAGCTTTCCAACATCCACGCCCCTTGCCTTCCAAAGTCAATGCTTCAAATCGTGGGCCAAAGGTTTATAGGATCGGGGTGTACAATTTTAGGAGCACAATTTGCCAGGTTTCATTGGTCCCTTTGCTAGGTTCAGGGCTCTAAAAGCCGAAAAGGGTGCATCATACATAAACTGTAGGGCTCCCCAAGCCCCAAACCCCTACAACAACAACAACCTACAACCTTCTGCAGAACATGCTCTTGCGAACGTCGGCCTCCTAATCTGGCATGTGTCTACGTCGGTGATTTGCTACGAAGCCGGGATAAGAACCTTTGTAGCTAGAATAGGGTTTGGAGGAATATTGCAAGTATGGTTAGAACCTGTTAGACTGTTAGACTATATACGTATATATATATATATATATATATAATATATATATATAATATATATATATATATATATATATATGCATACACATACAGTAGAATCAGGACTAACAATATTGGGATATTCTGAAGACCGTTACTGTACAGTACTGGTCTTCCAGAGTAGTACTTCTAGTCTCCTCCGAGTTCAATCAATCCCAAAGACTCGACATGGATGATGTCTTCAACCTTCCTTGTGGCTTTCCCTGCCTGCCGCAAGTACTTGGAAGCCCAACAAGAAGCCGATAAACTGCACAAGACCGCTGCAAAACTCGCTGACCAACCTCAGAGAACCCTATAGGACCATACGAGCCCTGAAAAACTATGAAAATGCTCAGAATGCCATAAAGGGCCTGAGACACCGGCGTAGGATTTAGGATAATATCGGGGCCTAAAATAATTTTAATAGGGTGTTGGGGCACGTTGTACTACAGTTATAATGAGCAACCCCCGAAATAGTATAGGCAGTCACTAAGCCCCCTATATTCGACGATCCAGAGCCTAAACAGTTGCTTATACTACTTTGGGGGCTCCTTATTACAATTATAGTATCATATACCCCACCCTAAACCCTAAACCCTAATCCCTAAACCCGAAACCCTTAACCCTAAACCCTAAACCCTAAACCCTTAACCCTAAACCCTAAACCCTAAACCCGAAACCCTAAACGGCTGTCGGGCCTGACCACGCAGCCGTAGACAACCTTTAAAGAACTCCTCGATCTCCTGAGCAGGTTTAGGGCTTTAGGGCTCTTGGGGTTTAGGGTGTAGGAGTTTAGGAGTTTAGATTCTCTAGGGCTTAGGGCTTTAGGGGTTTGGGGTGTAGGAGTTTAGGAGTTTAAATTCTCTAGGGTTTAGGGCTTTAGGGGTTTAGGGTTTAGGAGTTTAGAGTTTAAAGGGCTTAGGGCTTTAGGGTTTAGTAGTTTAGAGTTTAAAGGGTTTAGGGCTTTAGGGGTTTAGGAGTTTGAGTTTATGGGGTTTAGGGTTATAATATAGGGGTTTAGGGTTTAGGAATTTAGAGTTTATAGGGTTTAGGATTTAGGGATTTGGGGTATTTTCAAGTGTGCATCCTTACAGAAAATGTAGGGCTGAGGTAGCTTGATAGTCAGACTTGGGTTTTGGTGCATATTAGCCATACCCATTCTTGAGGGACTATACTATACGGATCATAAAATTCATGATTCCGAACCCTAGATTTACAGGCTTCGGTGGCTGTGCCAATGACGCATGCTATTTTGGACTGCAGGGTGTGCTCGCTTTTTCTTGTTGATCCAGTCCTCTTCCGCCGGCATTAAACAGAAAAACAAGGAATGGGGACAGCAAACAAAGATGTATGTATAGAACATTACAAGAGGTCATAATTTTCATAGGTTCCAACACATGACACATCACTAGCACCGCGTCCAGGTTGGAAGGCCCTAGCACGGCTTAGGATATTCTGTGGGGCTGGGAAGGTGGAGTTTGGGACCTAGTGCGCCGACTCCATGGAGCCACTGTAATCCCCTAAACTCCTCTTCTGCATGCCATACCAAACCCCAAGCTCAACACCCCACATCCGAAACCAAGCCACAAACCGCCCAAGCCCCAAACACACAACGAACCCTACGCCTCGAAGCCCTAAACCCTACATTCCAGGACATTCCATAAGCCGTAAACCCCAAACTCTATCCTAAACCCCAAACCCCCATTTCTAAGCCAACCAGCCAGGCCGCAACATTGCCCGGTTTTCGGAGGGATTCATCGTGTGGCATCTAGCAATTTAACCCCTAATCCCAAAATCTCAGACTTCCTCATCCTCGAAAATTCCTCGAAACCCAACCTGCTAGCTGTAAGGACCCTGGGTCCGAAACCCTTGCAGGGTTAGGGTTCAGTGTTTATAACCCCCTGGAGATTCTGAAGCCTTCAAGTGCGGGATCAAAGACTGACAGTCGCGCCAGGCGTCGACAGCTCCACCACTGTCGAGGTCTAAGAGCTTGAAGAAAGACCAAGCATCCCACACGTCGAGGC